GAAGGAGAGATCGATGGAAATCAGCGAAATGAAATAAAGGCTTGAGAACTGAAGATTATCTATCTAATGACTTGCTATACGTATTAGGAATGGTATTAAGTGGTTTGTTTATTGCGTACCTGTCGTTACCATGCCTGAATAAAGCTAGAATTTCTTCGAATGTTTTATTCTTGGTCTCAGGAACCTTCTTGTACGTGAAGATCCAAAAGATGGCTAGGAATGCACTGAATGGTAGGAACGTGTAGTTTTCAAGGCTAGTCTGCAACACATGAAAACCAGGGGGTCACAGCGTAAAAATAGCAAATGTCAACCGTGTCCTTTCGCTCGGAACTCTCGTGTCTTTTGTCGCTGTTTCAATATTACGAGAATTTCAACCCTCGAACCCTTCGCGAGGGCTGAATCAATTCCAACTCACGCAGATATATCTATGTAACGTACGTTACATTCATTACATTACGTTCATTATTCCATCGAACCGGTCCTAATCCTAAATACCGTAATGGTATAAAAAAAACGTCGTCATCGAGCCAGAAACAAGGCAACACACTCGAAAGGATGCGATCGCATCTTTCAAGTTGAACATCTTACCTTCATACTTGGAAAACCGATGCCAACCAAAAAATTAGCCATCCAATTGACAAGGACCGCGATGGACATGGCGGCAGGTCTGGGACCTTGCGAGAACAGTTCGGCCGTGATCATCCACGGTATGGAGCCAGGCCCGACAGCAAAGAACACCACGAAACTGAGCGTCGACACGACCGACAGATAAGACATCCAGTCAATCATTTCCTGCACATAACCGAAAAACTCCTATCAGGCAGTAGAATCGTGTTCTTCTTTCCTGAGCAGCCGGAGGAGTCTCTCTCAGGAGAACGAAAAATCGTAAGACCTAAAGGAACTCAACTGGAATAATAAAACTCGACGTAACGTAATAAAACCGCATGCAGAAAAGTGTGCAGCTCAACCCTGTGTTTAAGGCGATGATGCGGTATGCGACAATGCGTACAACGTGCTCTGTTATTTACGTATGTACAATACAATCCTTCTGTCTCAAGCGTTCAAGCGATATGACTGGCCATTTTTATAATACCCAAGGAGTAACCGGGACACGTTGCTTACAGATATTATATGAAGAGACCTGAACAAGGTCCGAGTAACAAGTACGCGTCGGACATACAACAAGTTTACGCTCGAACAAACGATACATTTATATGATCGTCGTATTAGGTCGATGATCGAGGTAAAGTCCGGCGAACTCTCGGTGGTGGTTTCTTCGAACAGCCTTACACTATTTGCTTTACGCGAATTCATCGTAGACAATAAATCATAGAGATAGGGCAGAGATTCATCAGGCGTTGCAAAAGAAGCAATAGTGCTATACACGTTCGGCGAAACAGAGTGACGGAGTTTTAGTCTCGTCGTCGTGATCAGTCGCGATTGGAATATATTAACGTTATTATGTTATCGTTGATTTAGTTATGCGCAAAAGGGTGACAGGTTTGAGCCGGAATGTAGACTAATAATATAAAGGGAGTAAATGTCTCCTCCAGGCAGTCACGAAAGAGGCCGTTGATGAAAAGGGACAGGGATGGGGCAGGGATAGGGACAGGGTTTGTAAGAAGCACAATTATTTAAGCCTAAGCAAATAAAATGAACCGCATGCATCCTACGTATTCGACACATTAATATCTTTCTAAAGATGCACTTAACAGTCTTCTTCTGGATACATTTGCGTATTTATTTTTCTAATTATAAATTATGAGAAAACGGCTCTTGCCGTTTCATCGAGAATAGAGATGTGTCAATTTCTTCATGTGTCAATACGCAGAATATCAGAATAATAATTTCTGTAATGCAAATGAAAAATAACATGCAGGAGTTTGGACAGATCTTACAAGTTACATGAATGGTCGGGAGAAATAAAAATGAGTTCTCGAATGCATATTTATATACGTAAAGTGGTGATAATTCTCACTGTCGATGCAGTGCTGCACTCCAGCTGTGAACAAAGTGTTAGATACACCTTTCGCCAAGGTGCATGAAGTGACAAAGCACAAAGAGAGACAGCTATATACAATCCACGTTCTCTGTGGCGTAATTAATGTCCTAAGAGAACACGATTTTCATCAACTTTTCTACGCTCGAACCGGAACAATTTCCCTCGATTTCAACTTGTTTCATTTTAGCTTTTAGCGAAAGCTGATCATTCAATTTATATCTGTATTATATCTTTCTACTTGACAATCATCGTTCAAATAATTTATAATCGCAACGGACGCTATTACCGTCTCTTTCTTTTACGCGACAACACGCGGGATCTATCAGGGAAAACGTGTTGCGTTCACTCGAAAGACGACATTACATTAATTGTTACAGTAGCATAGTTAAAGCGAGGGGAGCCGTAAAATTTGAACTTACCTTTATGAGAAAAGAAATTGTGATGAATATTGAAAAGATAAACATGCCACCAAGACCGTATAAGTGCAGTGTACGTCTTCCTGTTCTGTCCATAAGCGGGATGGATCCTAACGTCATTAGAACCATAATGGCACCTATGCCAATGGTTGCGAACTTGGCACTCTCCTCTGTCAAACCAGAACTAGTGAACAAATTTGTCGAATAGTAAAACACCTGAAACACACAAATGGCAATTTCGTCCGCTATTATAATTATTCGTCCTCTTTGCCCCCGTGAATGAATCGTACCAGGGAATCGTTCGGATTCAAAACTTCGCTGTTTTGCGGAGCGCAAAGCGTAACGTGTGTACATGCGCGAAATTTACGGGCCGGTAAAAATACTTACGGCGTTAATGCCTGAAAGCTGTTGAGAAAGTTGCATAACCACACCGATAACGAGAGGCGCTCTCAATGTCGGGCTACATATGAGCTCTGTCATCGATATTCTAGACTCGGCTTGTTGAGCTCGTTCCTCGGCCCTCATTTCTTCGATGTCTTCTTCCACTTGGTTACTGGCTCTCAACCTCCTCAAAGCTTTACGGGCTTCTTCCTCCCACTGTTTCGTAATGAGCAAATATCTAGAGCAGAGGATCAAAAGAGAGAAGAAGCTGTGATCATCGGTCGGAAAAGTACGGAGAAGTAGGGGTGAGCAACGATCGTCTCGTACGAGCCAAGTTAAACAATAAGATTAGCGAACATATTGCGGAAGATATCTACCAAAGTCTAGTAGGAGAGCTTAGTAGGAGATAATCTTTGGGAAAGATTTGTCTCTTTATCTACACACGCGGCTGGATGTGATCTCTACCTTGGAGATTCGGGGCAAACTGGAAGCAGCAGTAACTGTAGAATGGCAGGGCAGATAGCTAGCCCTAAGAGAACTGGCCAACCCTCGTTCGTTCCAAGGATTTGCTCGATGCCCAGCACCTGGGAGACCAGGAGGCCCACCGTAACAGCGAGCTGGTTCACCGTGCCTAGGCCGCCTCTCAGGTTCAATGGTGCTATCTCCGATATGTACATGGGAACCAGCGAGGTGTTCAAGCCACAATTGACGCCAATGATGAACCGTCCAAAGAATAACATTTCGTACGAGTGAGCAATCTTTGTACAACCCATCAGGCACGCCCCCACGATGCCCAGCACGTTGTTTAGCAGTAAGCCCCCCTTTCTGTCGATGAATGAAAAAAGAGATAGAGAAAAACAATATATGAGTGATACAAGAAAACAATCGTTCTGATCGTCCGATTACCTGATATCATACAACGTACATACATACATACACGCTTCCGCGCGAGGCGGTTTTTTAATATCGATAGATACGTCTGGCACGCGTAGAAAGCCCTAGCCAGATTACACGTGCGAAACGAAAATTGCAACGGTGTGGATGGTACAAACCTGCCAAATCTGTTGGCAATTATTCCTCCGCTAAAACCACCTAGCATACCACCAATCGCAAATATGCTTACGGCCACGGAATACAATTTCTTCACGGAATCGTCTGAAATATCCTCTCCGTACCTATCCTTGTACACGTCTTTCATAAAATTTTCAATATTCTGAAAAAGGAATAAATCACACCGTTCTGTAGAGATGTTGTCTCTTGAAATCTTTTCATTTCGTGTTCCTTGACACGTTTGCTACGACAGTGAATTGGAACAAAATACAAATGGTTCGTTTCTTGCGTCTTTGTGTAAAATTTAATATTTGATATTTTGTTGTTAACAAATAACGTCTGATATCTGTCTGATATCAAAGGGTAGGCGCGGTAACAAACGTCATCAAGTATTCGTGGAACAGGTATTTTTAAATCGACTTCATTGTTAATGAAACGATCTAGTTAGGGGACATAGTTTGACATTTGGCGACTGGAAATTAGGAGAAGAAAGAACGTACCACTTCCGGCGCATTAATAACTCCAGTGTTGTATCCGAACTGCAACATTCCTAAAACTGCTGCCAGTATTGCATACGACAGGAAAAGTGTTAGCCCCTGCAAGCATCGAATAAATTATTGAACGTCGAACGATTCCAAAAAAAAAGAGGCTGTGATACTATACTTTTATCTCAGCAAAAGTTCAAACAATAGAAGCTGCTTCAAATAAAATAATTAATGAACGCGCGTTCTATCGGAACATAAAAATCGTACAACAGGCGAACGGGGATAGAAATAATGACGAGGGGTGAAATAAAACTACGTCGAACAATGTCGTAAAAAGTGTTTATTAAAAAATACTTTATCGCTCTGTCTATATAAAATCATACGCTACAACAAATGGCCATCGTGCAAAGAGATGCATAAAAGAAAAATCAAATGAAACGATCGTAACACAATCATTTACATCACGTAACAACCAAATATGATGATGATGATGATGATGATGATGATGATGATAATCGATCGATACAAATAAACAGCCATCAAAAGCAATACCGAGTTTCACTCGGTACGAAACATAAAAATCGCACGATCAAAAAATAAGAAATTTTCTGATCGTCATAGATCAAGCGTCACCTGCTCCAAAAGCCTAAGTTTCCGTCGATGTGAATGTTCTTCTAGTCGATCCACGTATTCTCGTAATTCCTCTATTTCTTCTTTCACCTGCTGTACCGTATCTAGTTCGTGCTGCGTAACACATTAGGAAATACGATTTAGACATTTGCGTACCATACAGTCCATACATTAGAACGAATTTGAAACGTCCTTTCGTAAGGGAAGAGTTTTTTCTCAAAAGGGAACATCACGTACATGGACCAGAATAAACAAACAAGTTCTTTCTAAAAGGAGGAGTTATCAATCTCATTTTACTTTTTCCGGCATGTTCTTTCGTTCTTTCTGTTTTCTTTTTCTTTTTTTTTTTTTTCTTTTTTTCATTCTTTCATAGCTACAAAGACAGAAAAGTCGACGCGACATTCGTCGCGCTCGAGCTCTAATTAAGAGATTTCGGAGGCGCGGAAGCGACATGGATATCTCGTTGAACGTAGAGACCAACAGTACCTTGATCGCGACCATGTCCCGTTTGACCTCGCTGACCTCGCTCTGGCAAGACTCTACGCTCTTGGTGAGTTCCTGCAGCTGCGTGCGGATCTCGCAGAGGGCGACGGTGGTCTCCAGCTGGCGGTCACCCCGCTGCAGCTCGTCCAGCTTGGCACTCAAGTTCATACTCATAACGCTGACCTGTTTCTGCAGACTGCCCACACACACATACCCTCACGTGAATCTCGCTGGCTCGCTCGGGAAAATAAATCGACATTGTCGAGCACATTGACACACTAGACACGATCAAGGCTAACTATGCCTAGTCCCCTAAACAAGAAGTCCAACTACCTCCGCGCGAAAACTGCCGAGCCTTCAATAGCGTACGCTTACTATAACGGGGATGTGTTCTCTCTTTCCTTTCTAGTTCTTTACTTTCTCGTTCATTCATTTTTTTTTCCTTTTTTTTTTTTTTTTTTTTTTTGTTTCAACTTTTCTAGTTTTCGTTGCTTTTAATCTACTTGCGCGCGAGCGAGGAGACAATACGATTATCTGATTATGACTGGGAAAAAAAAAACCAAGATGCTGCTTCTATCGGGATGTAATCGCGTAAGTACACCACGTATTCTTCTCTCGTGCTTTAAATCTCAGCGAGCCAGCGGTAGCTCGGCAGCTAAGGAAACGTTGGGTATACGAGTAGCGTGTAAACAGAGTTATACAGACACACACACACACATATATATATATATATA